CTGCTGAATGGCAACGCTGCATCAAATGCAAACATTGGACTGATTTCTCAGGGACTTAAATATCCAATCCTATTCAATCTTCCTTATTGAGCAAACACTCTCTAGCTTTGGCTAGTTTACTCACTTACCTGCTTAGAGGCAGAACTGAGTAGACAGATATCTCCAGAACTCTTTCTACTCTTCAGTTCCCTTTGGTCATCTCATAATGTGTGTGACCTTCCCACTGGGATACGCACTTAAGACAGAAGATAAGCTTTTGAGCTGAAGTACCAATAACCTTGAAAAGGGCACATGTACCTTGCTTGACCTTCTGTTGGGGGCCAACCCTGTCATTTTTTCTGTCTGGAGAAAGCAGAGGGCCCCCTCTTCCCTTTCCTCTTCCCTTTCCTCTATTACTCTATCTCCACTGAGTGCCTCACAAAATAGTCCCAGTCTCCAATGGATCTATCTGTCCAAGGATATGCTACCCCTTCAAATTCAGATTGGATGAAGTGTTCTTTGATTAGAGACCTAGATGAAGGGTTACTTAACGGGCCAGCTCAGCTTGGCTAAAAAGCCGCAACCAACACCTGGTATGGGGTGGAGTGTGTGTGTGTGTGTGTGTGTGTGTGTGTGTGTGTGTGACTTTACTGTCTTCCCCTGAACTAATGTGCCTATAGTACTTAGCAGAATCCACACACAATAGGTGTCTAGTAAATGATAGTTCATCTCCTTCCTTCTTGCTAGACACCCTTCCTGCTCCCCTACTGCCCTGCAGCCTAGCCTGGCTTTGGTTGCCAGCAGTACCCAGCAGCACCATTCCCCCGGATCCTGCCTTCTAGGCTCAGGGCAGATCCCAGGCATCAGTGCCCACACCTGCTCACTAGGAGTTATTTCACTACCCTACTTTGACCCCCTTCCAACTCTTAATGCAGGACTGCAGAAAGACTTAGGAACACTTTCCAAGACAGTCTGACCTTTGCTTCCCTCTTCCAGGTGGGAATTGATGGATTTCATGCCTGTTTCCTTTCAGGGTTGCAGAGAGTACAGCAACTTGCAGAAAACACAAGATACTTCAGACAGAGACTGAGTGAAATGGGATTCATTATCTATGGCAATGAGGAATCTCCCGTTGTTCCCCTGCTCCTTTACATGCCTGCTAAAGTAGCGTGAGTATCCAGCGGACTCCCAGAATAACACCTAAGCTCCAAGATGATCTGACAGAGTTGGTGCTTTTGACACCACGGGGCTCTTTCAGCATAGGTATTGCTTTGCACTTTGAGCGGGACGCCGAGTTCAGAATTCATTTGTCCAGCTTCTCAGAAGCTACCTGCCTGCCCATCAGCAAGACCTTTTCACAGATCTTGTGGGAAGGGAGCCAGGTACTGCGGCCCATAATTTCCAAGCTCTGTGAATTGGGCGGAGTCACTTATCTCAGGCCCCAGCTGTAAACTGATGATGATCCTGCACTTCTTCCTCCCCCAAGATCTTTCTCAGGGAGAACCTCAAAACACCATCTCTCCCAACATTCAAAAGCAACATGACCAGGCTTTGTGCTTTCTCCCACTGCACTCTCATGGCCATCCTCAAAAGAAAGCACCCTCATGTGTGGGGAAACTGAGGCTGAGAGCAGTTACATAGCTTCCCAAAGCCATACCGGTCAAGCAGTTTTAGTAAAACCAAGAGGCAAACCCAAACCTAGGTTTACTCCAAAGCTCTTGCTCTTAACAAAAAATGTTAACACCACTCCTGTAAGCTTATTTGCGGTTGTTTTCCGTCGACTGCAACTCTGAGGTTGAGCATTAGTAAAAACTGATAAAAGGAAGTTAATTAAACTCCTTTCTAATAGAAAATGTTTGTGTATCTGATGAAGCACATGGTAGAAAGTAATTCTCAACAAATGTTTATCAGATTCTAGACATCCTGACACTCCTTTAACACAAGCCCATTGTTGGAACTTTCCGTCTGATTCTCTTAACAGCCGAACTAGATTGGCAGAGTATGAGACGTAGTATAGAAAAGAAGTTCTGGAGCTATTAGTTGAAAACTCATGATGGATAGGACTGAGTTATACGTTCCTAAAAGATGGATTTTTTGGAGTACACTTTTGGGTCATTTCACCACAGCAAAATAATAAGCAGTTAAAACACACACATGAGTTGCCTCATGCACCACAGCCATCCACCACTCAGCCCTTTGTTCATGGATCTGGATCGGGAAATCAATGCCTGGAGTAGCCAAGAAGACAGTGTGCTTCAGAAATGTCATAGGATACTGCTCTATGCTAATGGCAGGAAGGAGTGACATTGGTGATTCCAACTGGCAGATAACCCAAAACCCTTTACCATCTGATCTTGGATGACAGGAAAGAAAACCCACATTTACTCAGAGTGGTTGGGGAAACGGTACGTTCTGACCCAACACGTAGCCCATGCCTATCTAATATTTTATGATTAGCTCAAATGAAGACAGCAAAAGTAAACTTGTTTCATTTTAGAGAGTGTTAACACCAGAGGGTGGCGGTAGGGAGTGTGCTGGATACTTCTGACTTTGATGACGGAAGTTGGAATTAGAACCTCAACAGGCTGGGAACATGAATCCATCCAATGAGAAGAGTCCATGAAGAATAAAAACAAATGCATTTCAATGCAAGAATTCAAGTGCATGATGACAGAACAAAAGAGAGAGTTCCCCTCCTTTATATGCCAGGAGTCCTAACTAGGGAAAGCTAATGTGAAAAAGGAAAATTAAACTGAGAGGGAGTTTCCTGGAAAACTTATGTTCTAAGGTATAATGAGATGTTTGGAATGAAAAAGAAATTTGACTCTGCCTCTTCCTAGCTGGGGGATCTAGGACAAGTTAACCAACCTTCTGAAGCTCCACTTTTCTCATATTGAAAACGGGATAGAATAGGACCTATTTCCTAAGATCATCTGACGATTAAACAAGATGAAGTCTATCAGCATTTGGCATGTCATTCATGTCTTACATAGGAGCTACTCAGTGTCGGCTGTTATTATCAATAGTATTAATAATGTATATAAAGCACTTCATATAGTAATTGAGTACGCACTCAATCGGTGGTAGACATCATTATTACTACGAGTTCTACTACAGCTACAATGATGATAATTGTTCGTTTCAACAGAGTATAAGATTGAGTCATCGTGCTTGCATGGCTAAGGAGGCGCTAACATTGCTGGATGTTACTTATATGCTAAGGAAGGCTCTTAAACCCAGTTGTCACCCATTGAAGGTGGGATGCTTAGCCCTGGTTTACAAATGAAGACACCTAGACACCCCAAAGTCAACCTACATTCTCAGGGTCCCTCACATTGTAGGTACTAGGGGCCAGAATTCAAACCAGTTGCATTTGCCTCCTAAACCAGTGCTCTCTTCAAGGCACAACATAGCCCATAGGGGAAAAATACACATCTCTTTAAAGCAATGCAGAGTATAATTTAACCCTCTTTAATGTCATCATTGGTGAATCAAAAGGCATCCATTATGACAATGGGAAAAAAATCTAATTATTTGGGTTGTTAAGAAAACTTAGAACAGGTTAGTTACAAAAGGTAATATTATCTAATGTTGGCAGGAGTTACTGCTGCCCAATCTTGTTTCCTGCACTAATATTTCTTCAGTGGAAAGTTGAAGGCAGAGAACCTTTTGAAATGGAGTTAATTGGCTAAGCCAGTGTATGACCACTTGTTTCATTTGCTCATTTAAAAACTTTTGATTTTTCTCAAAGAAATGTGATTACTCCACATTTCCACCTACCACAGAATGGAGACATTATCTCCAGCCAGGTATCCTTTTGGATAAAGTCCTGTTGCAATTCTACCACTGGAATCTTCTATGGAGTTTAGTATAATGCAGTTTCACCCATAAAACATTCACTTAAATAATCAAGAATATACTGTAGTTACTATTTGGTACAGGGTTGACATTTTCCGTCCTGAGGCCTCATCATACACTCGGAGGACGGTGGTGCAGAAAATGCAGTGATGCTGCGTGAATGCAATGCTAATGTTGTATTATTCTTATTCTTATTCACATAGTTTAGTTTCTTTCAGCCTATGCCAGCTCTAATTTGCTTTGGGGAATACAAACCCAGAGGCAATCGCATACATTAGCTGAAGGAGGCTAGGTTTAGTAGTGTAAGTTTTAAAGTTAGAACTGCTCCAGGGAGGCCTCAGGTTAGCCTAATGAATCAACAGTCATATATTTCGCTCTACATTCTTTGGCAAAACTTACTTCCTCTGGTACAAAGAGAAGAGTGCAGACAGTGAACATGGTCTTTGGGGAGTCCCAAAAACCAGCCCGATCATGGGTCAGGTGGTTTGTACTCTAGCAATAAAAGCACTTGACTTGTTTCTCAGACAATTACGAGCTCTCATCCTGTGCAGTTCCGTGGGCAGCCTTCCATAGGGTGATCAAGAAAAAGAAAGAATGGCTGTTTTCAAGCTTCCTCAGTTAGAAAGCTCCATCTCCTTGTAAACTTCCCAATCCAAATCAAAGGCTATGTCTTGCCATGGCCAAGCCAGGGAGCCAGAGAGGCTGTGTGTTTGGTAGTTCTTGCAATCTCCATTGCTTTCTTTGATAACCTGCATTCTGCACGAGGAAACCAAAAGGCAGACAGCTAAACGGGAAGAGAATGAAAGACCCCTGCGTCGCGGATTCTTCCTGAGTTATGACTCAAGGTTTCTGTGGTGCTGTCAGCTTCCAGCCTAAAATAAGGCACCAGCAACCTCTTAATGCTAAGAACAGATCTGAGACGTTTACCCCACTTCAGGGCAAAGCATCTTAGTGATTAAGGATTCCTGCGGGGAGCGACGGAGCACAAAGGGGAAAAGGCTCACTTGGGTGCACATGCTTGTGTCTGACATTGGATCTCAGAGCAAGAAGTTTACAGACTTTGAGAGCTGGGTATTCTAGAATCGTTACTGAGATTAGCTCTAAAATAAAAAGAGGCTAGAAGCAGTTAAGGGGAAGGAATCATAGCTTTAAAAGGTTTTACTCAGGGGCTTCTCTGGTGGCGCAGTGGTTGAGAGTCCACCTGCCGATGCAGGGGACACGGGTTCGTGCCCCGGTCCGGGAGGATCCCGCGTGCCGCGGAGCGGCTTGGCCCTTGACCCATGGCCGCTGAGCCTGCGCGCCCGGAGCCTGTGCTCCGCAACGGGAGAGGCCACAACAGTGAGAGGCCCGCGTACCGCAAAAAAAAAAAAAAAAGTAGGGACTTCCCTGTTGGTCCAGTGGGTAAAACTCTGTACTCCCAATGCAGGGGGCCGGGGTTCAGCCCTGGTTGGGGAATTATTGGGTTGGCCACAAAATTCGTTCACGTTTCTCCATTACATCTTATGGAAAAATCCTAAAGAACTTTTTGGCCAACCCAATAGATCCCGCATGTCACAACTAAGGAGCCTGCATGCTTCAACTAAAGATCCCACATGCCGTAACTAAGACCCAGTGCAGCCAAAATAAATATAAATTAAAAAAAAAAAAAATCAATTAGCCACATGCCTTTTTTTCCCTTTTTTTCTTTTTGCAGTGTAATTTTGTCATCTCTCAGTTAACCTCCTTTTTAACATTTCCCTTAGGGCTTTTGCAAGACATCTATTAAAGAGAAAAATCGGCGTGGTGGTCGTTGGATTTCCAGCTACTCCCCTTGCAGAAGCCCGGGCTCGGTTCTGTGTTTCAGCAGCACATACGCGGGAGATGTTAGACGCAGTAAGTACTCCACAGCCCAGCAGAAGCGACAGGATGGGGTCCTCGGATTCCGAGCACGTTCTTTTACTGAGCTTGCTTGGGTTTCCCTGGGTTTCTCTTGGATGGTTGAAGAAAACAACACTAATAACACTCACTGCTAAAAAGTAAAAATAAAAAATAAGGGTATCCTAACAATGCCCAACAATGTGATCAACTCAGCAGATAGAAAAGAAAATCAGCTCAGTGAAGACTTGAGTCAAGTCGGTGTTTTGGTTTCATAGCAAAGACCCACTGAGTAGCCAGACATCCTGCTCTTTGCTTGTTCTTAAAGGCAGACGCTGATCTCACATGCTATTTCAGCAGTAACTGCCTGCATCCTGGCACTGCTCACAGCCACCATGTCCATCATAAGAAAATATGACCCAAATAAACCATATGTTGGAAAACCAACAACAAAGACAGATCTATCATATAAGCTCATCCCACGTGAGGTGTAAAGGATTTCAAAACCACACTTCAGGGCTTCCCTGGTGGCGCAGTGCTTGAGAGTCCGCCTGCCGATGCAGGAGACGCAGGTTCGTGCCCCGTTTCAGGAAGATCCCACATGCCGCGGAGCGGCTGGGCCCGTGAGCCATGGCCACTGAGCCTGCGCGTCCGGAGCCTGTGCTCCGCAAATGGGAGAGGCCACAACAGTGAGAGGCCCGCATAACGCAAGGAAAAAAAAAAAAAACCACACTTCATTGTCCTTGGATTTCGATCTCTGTGTGAATGAATAATATCAGAGAACCAAGCCAGGTCAGTCAGTTTAGGGTTGATGAAACTGTCTTATAAAATCAATGCAGTTTAGCAAACACTATCAGGTGTCTGCTCTATGCAAAACCCTGGGGCAAAAAGTCTGAGAGAACATACTATGAATAAGCACTTCATAATAATATCAGACAGAATAAATTCATCTCGAAAAAGAAATATAGACAACTGCATGAAGGTGGAGTGGGTTATTATGGAGCTATTTGAACAAAATAAGAGACGACAAGGTCAAGGGCAACGGAAACAAAAGAAATGGATCTAGGAATAGACGTTATGCATGCATGAAGCTGCCAAGACTTGGCAAATATTGGATGCAGGGCACATATGGGGTGAGGGAATCAAGAATAATCCGAGGTCTAGCCCTCTAGCAAATAAAGAACGGCAAAACTAAGCACGTATATGAGATAAGGTATATGGCAAGGAACAGCATAACACCAACAGGACTGGGGGAATAAAACGAGCTCACTTCCAGACATGTTGGGATTACAAATCTACGTGCCAGCTGTGAAAAAGCAAACTATTATATATAGGATGGATAAACATCAAGGTCCTACTGTAGAGCACAGGGAACTATATTCAATATCCTGTGACACACCATAATGGAAAAGAATATGAAAAAGAATGTGTGTGTGTGTGTGTGTGTGTGTGTGTGTAACTGAGTCATTTATACTTCGATAAAATTTAAAGAAAATAAAATCCAATTCTGGAGCTTAGGAGAGTATGCAAGGCTGGAGCTGCTGTAATCTGAGGAACTAAGGGATCATTAAAGTCAATGGTAGAAAATATAATTGTCCAAATCTAAGTGAACGGGCCAAGCACAGACTCCCCCTACATCCCTGGTTGGATATAGGAATCACAGACGAGGAACTGGGCTTAGATGGAGCTAGATCAATTGGAAAAGTCATAAGCTAGTGTAGTGCTCAACACAGTAAAAAGGAAAAAGCTTCAAGGACGGAGAGGATCAAATGTCCCTGCGATTTTTTTAGATTCCACATGTAAGCGATATCGTATGATATTTGTCTTTCTTGTCTGACTTACTTCACTCAGTATGACAGTCTCTAGGTCCATCCATGTCACTGCAGATGGCATTATTTTGTTCTCTTTAATGGCTAAGTAATATTCTATTGATGAACCTATTTACCAAACAGAAATAGAGTCACAGATGTAGAAAACAAAGTTATGGTCACCAAGGGGTAAAGTGAGGGGAGGGATAAATTGGGAGATTGGGATTGACATATACACACTACTATATATAAAATATATAACTAATAAGAACCTACTGTATAGGACAGGGAACTTTATTCAATACTCTGTAACGACCTATATGAGAATAGAATCTAAAAAAGAGTGGATCTATGTACATGTATAACTGATTCACTTTGCTGTACACCTGAAACAAACATAACATTGTAAATCAACTATACTCCGATAAAAATTAATTTTTAAAAATGTCTCTACAAAACAGCAGAACATCCAAGTGGGGTGAGAGATGAGAAAAAACCATTGGCTTAGCAGTTAGTTAGTAGGATCTTGCTGTTGCTCAGAACAGAGAGTTTTAGGAGAGTGCAGGGAACAGAAATAAGAATACAAAGAATTAAAAAATGGAAGGGAGGGCTTCCCTGGTGGTTGAGAGTCCGCCTGCCGATGCAGGGGACACGGGTTCGTGCCCCGGTCCAGGAAGATCCCACATGCCGCGAAGCGGCTGGGCCCGTGAGCCATGGCCGCTGAGCCTGCGCTTCCGGAGCCTGTGCTCCACAACGGGAGGGGCCACAACAGTGAGGGGTCCGCGTAACGCAAAAAAAGAAAGGGATACTTTGAGCTCGAATTACACACACACACAGACACATACACGGGTCCATATCTTTCTGCATCACCATTATATTCTAGGACTTAAACCAATGTATAGAACATAGTAGGTACACAATAACAATTTATTAGATAACATGTTAATAACTGAGCTAACTCTAGATTTTGAGATGATGGGAGAACTTTGCTGTTTTTGTTCTATATATTGTCCAGATTCTCTAAAATGAGTATATTTTAGAGAATATTAATTTTAACAAATTGTTTCCTCTAAATGTAATGAGTGGGTGGTAAGAAATGGTAGGCAAGTCTTTTGAGAAGTGTGTAAAGGCAAAAAGGATAGGTTTAGAAAAAGTGGGGGAAGACTTGAGCATGTTTACACATCAAGGGAAAAGGGAGTGAAGAGAGGGGCACTGCAGGCATGGGGAGAAGAGAATGTGCCCAGAAGCACGCTCCAGAGACAGCAGGAGGGGATGGACAGCTTGGGTCGATTTGCATCTTTCTTCTGATCCAAACGGCATGGAGGCACTCACGAATACCCAGTTCAATAGATATCAGACCTTGTGATTGTTTTCATGAGTTAATTCCTGTGGAATACTTGGTTTGGAAGGAGCACGGAAACCTCATCTAGACAAATGCCTCTAAACTTCTGAGATCGTCAAATCAATACAAAATTTTGAGCAAGTTTCTTACTATAAGAGAATTGAAAAATGACCCCTTGAACAGTCATGGCATTAAGGTAGCAACTGAACATAAATGACAGTCGCAGAAAATATACAATATTAGAGAAGTCTATTCAGTGACCATGTTTGGAACAAGACAAAAAGGAGGACACTTTACAAACACAAAATGACTTAAAAGGTCCCTCTTCTAACATGAGTGGCAGCTGCTCCGTTACCGAGGACAGCTCTAGCCTTGCTATAATCCTCCCGCCTTCTAGATAAGTCTACGTATATACAACACTGAGCTGCTCCAGCTTCTTGACAGCATCCAAGCCAGAACTGGTCCCTGCTTCCTTAGAATCATCTCGTGCACAAGTCCAGATGTGATACGTAGCCCTTCCCAACTCCCCGTTACGAAGATGCTTCTTCTGGAGTGCATATTCCCTGCTGCAGCAAGCTGAATAAACCCGACTTTGTTTGAGTACTCGTGTGTTTCAGGTAGTTGATTAGTGAGCCTCAACATAAATCCATTTAGAAATAATATATGCATTACCAATATATTATGTACATTTTATAATAGACACAAAAAAAGAAGTTAAAAATGTTGAGATACCACCTCACACCTGTCAGAATGGCTATCATCATAAAGAAGACAAATTACAAATGTTGGCAAGGATGTGGAGAAAAGAGAACCCTCGTACACTGTGGGTGGGAATGAATATTGGTGCAGCCACTGTGGAAAACAGTATGGAGGTTTCTCAAAAAACTAAAAATAGAACTGCCATATGATCCAGCAATTCCATTCCTGGGTATATATATGAAAAAAACAAAAACACTAGTTCAAAAAGATACATGCACCCCAATGTTCATAGCAGTTACTTACAATAGCCAAGATATGGAAGCAACTTAAGTGTCCATCAATAGATGAATGGACAAAGAAAATGTGGTATGTATTTGCAATGGAATATAACTCAACCATAAAAAAGAATGAAATTTTGCCATTTGCAGCAACATGGATGGACTTGGAGGGCATTATGCTAAGTAAAATAAGTCAGACAGAGAAAGACAAGTACTGTATGACATTGCTTATGTGTAGAATATAAAAAATACAACAAACTAGTTAATATAATAAAAAAGTAGAGAGCAAACTACTTGTTACCAGTGGGGAGAGTGGGAGGGGTAACATAAGGGTTGGGCAGCAAGAGGCACAAACTATTGGGTATAAGATAGGCTCACGGATGCATTGTACACAACACAGGGAATATAGCTGATACATTGTAATAACTGTAAATGGAAAGTAACCTTTAAAATTGTTTTAAAAAAATTAAATAAATTTTTTTAAAAAGGTTGAGATTAAAATGAATCAAAATCCTATGTTTTCCTCCCACATCCTTCATGAATTGTGGTACTTCTACCCCAGGTGTGTGGGTCCTTCACTTTCAAAGCCACAGAGCTACTCCATCCCCCACCTGCAGGAAAAGCAACAGAAACTACCCCAGATTGATGCCACTTAAAATGTAAAGCCTGATACTTTTTCCTAGGGCTTATATTTGGTATAAAAATTAAGAAACTAAATTGAAGTAGAAAGAAAATTTTAATTACCCATAATCCTACCACCCAGAAATAAACTATTCTTAACATCTTGGTAGGGATCTTAACTAATGTCAGTTTGGAAGATTTCCCAACGGAGAAAATCCATAAGCCCCATGAGTCATTCTTTCTGATGGTAACGATTCTCACTTTACCTTTTTCAAAACATTGGACTCTAATATCATTTCTCTTTTCTTTTGACTGGTTGAGAAAAACAGGCCCAAAAGATTAAAAAGGCATGCCCAATTCAGTAGGATTAGTGATAGACTGGAAGGAAAAACTTACATTTTGTATATTCTGGATCTCAGTTGTTTCATTTGTAAACTTGGGGATACATTTACCTGCCTGGATTGAGAGAATTAAAACAGATGAGTTCTTGGTGTCTTGTGACTTTAAATTCTATTATTCTATGGAGCATAGAGATGAGTATTTAAAAGTTGGGGGTGGGAGGAGGGGGGCAGCAGAAGAATGGGAGAGACAGGAGGAACCTAATTAGCTCCCATAATGTTCCGTTTTCTTCCTGGCCAGGTTGGTTTGCTGTGTCATGAAGAATTAACACAAATGTAATCTGCGAAGTTTTCTTTTTCTTCCACAAGTTTATATATGTCATTAAACTTTAAAATAAATCCTTCAAGGGTAAGCATGGATCAGATGACTTTATTCCTCTCCTCCCACCCCCAAAATAAACTAAAGATTTGTAATGTGGAGTTAGACTATTAAAGAACATGAAAATAAAATGCATTAGCCTCTAACATTCCTCTAGGACTGGCTTATGAACCACAGCTTAATGATTTGGATCTTTCTCCTTTTCTTTAAAATCGAATAAGCTGGCAAAAGAAGAGTGTGGTTCTCTGTGAGCCCCCCAGAGAGCAAGGCCACTTGGGGGTTTAAAGAGAACTGATGGAAGGAATCTCTTTGCAGGTTTTGGAAGCCCTGGATGAGATGGGTGACCTCCTGCATGTGAAATATTCCCGGAACAGGAAGTCAGCACGCCCTGAACTCTACGACGAGACGAGCTTTGAACTTGAGGATTGAGTTTCCTGGACCTGAATGGAGCCTAAAGACTTTGCCAGAAAGACCTCCCTCCTTGCCTCCAAAGAAATATGAATAGATTTCTTCCCCTTTCTAAGGACAGTTTTGGTTTCCAAACCAATTTCACTGAGCCAAGGGAGATACGATTGTTGTCCTTTTAATGTCTCTGCAGAGACAAAACTATGGTTCCAGAGTTTAATTTTCTCTTCCCCTAAGTATCCTGCTGCAAATACACACACGCACTTCTTAGAATAGTTTTAATAGAAAAGAGCCTGTAGTTTAGTTGCTATTGTGCAGCCTCTTTGGTCCAGACCCTTTCAGGAGTTCCAACCAAGTAAGAGGGTTTTGATTTTTTAGTTCAGTAGATCTTATTATGTGTTTGCTAATTTCATCTGCAGAGGGGGGCAAGGGTGGTGGGCAGTAGGTGGACTCCTTGTTACCCATGAAACACCAGCTAGAACTCATCCGTATCACGGGGAGTTCCAGGCAGGAGGGTAAAGAAATGTTGCCTCTACCATTTGCCACATTTGGACTTTTTCCAAGGACAAGTGTCAAAAGCCACAGTTAATGTTTCAAAGGAGAGTGCAGGCCTGGCCAGCGGCGACCAAACATCTTTAAAGGAAATTTTCTTTTTCCGCTTGCTGGTCTCCTACAGTTTTACAGCTGAATTTTGAGGTTTGGAAAATTCAAGACTTTTGTTTCATCAGGAAGAGGGTAGAAAGCAAGCAAGCCAATGATAGGCCTAGACTAAAACTGTAAAGTTATAACAACTTGAATGTTGTTGGTGCCATGCAGACTGAATGTTTAGCATCGCTTTTACTACTTTAACAACTGAGTGGTCATTTTCCTATTAAATTTGGAGTACATGGGGGAAATTCAAGTTCCTTTAGAGTTGCCTCTCAGGACTACACTTGAAGAACATATTGATTCAAAAACGACATTTAAAAGTAAATGCTATTCCACTTTTCAATTCTGACCGCCTTCCCCATTCAGGCCTATTAAATACTACTGTCCTCTGGCATAAGCACTCCAATTTGGTGCTAAGTGGGCTTGCACACTATTGGGCAACTAACTGGAATTTACTTGAGTTGTCTCTGTCTCTCTTTATCTCTCTGTCTGTCTCTGTATGTCTGCCTGTCTGTCTCTCTCTCTCCAAACGTGAACACAAACTTCTCTGCAAAAGTAACACTTTGCTAATTGGATCTAGTTGGTATGGAAGAAGCCAGGGGAAAACCTTATCTTTATCAAGCTTCCAGATGGTGCCCAGATTGGGAAATGCTAAAAAGCAGTGGTGACCTTTTAGCAAAGCTTCTGTAATAGTTCAAATGAGTTACAGAACATTCCACTCCATCAAATGACATTATAAACAAATCACTTCAAGAGAGGTTTGACTTTGCATGACACAGATGGACCAAGGCTTTAATGCTGTGAGCTGGGATAGAAACTCCACCCACAGCTCCCGTGTTGGATGGAGAAGCATGGAGATTGGTTCAAGATGGTGGAGTAGAAGGAGGTGCACTCACTCCCTCTTGTGAGAGCACTGGAATCACAACTAACTGCTGAACAATCATCAACAGGAAGACACTGGAACTCACCAAAAAAGATACCTCACATCCAAAGACAAAGGAGAAGCTGCAATGAGATGGTAGGAGGGGAGCAATCACAATAAAATCAAATCCCATAACTGCTGGGTGGGTGACTCACAAACTGGAGAACAATTATACCACAAAAGTCCACCACTGGAGTGAAGGTTCTAGGCCCAATGTCAGGCTTCCTAACCTGGGGGTCCGGCAACAGGAGGAGGAATTCCCAGAGAATCAGACTTTGAAGGCTAGTGGGATTTGATTGCAGGACTTTGACAGGACTGGGGGAAACAGAGACTCCACTTTTGGAGGACACACACAAAGTAGTGTGTATAATGGGACCCAGGAGAAGGAGCAGTGACCCCAGGGGAGCCTGAATCAGACCTACCTGCTAGTGTTAGAGGTTCTCCTGCAGAGGTGGGGGGTGGCTGTGGCTCACCATGGGGACAAGGACACTGGCAGCAGAAGTTCTGGGAAGTACTCCTTGGCATGAGCCCTCCCAGAGTCCACCATTAGCCCCAACAAAGAGCCCAGGTAGGCTTCAGTGTTGGGTTGCCTCAGGCCAAACAACCAAAACCCAGCCCCACCCATAAGCAGTCAAGAGGATTAAAGTTTTACTGAGCTCCGCCCACCAGAGCAACAGTCAGCTCTACCCACCACCAGTCCCTCCCATCAGAAAACTTGCAGAAGCCTCTTAGATAGCCTCATCCACCAGAGGGCAGGCAGCAGAAGCAAGAAGAACTACAATTGTGCAGGCTGTGGAACGAAAACCACATTCACAGAAAGATAGACAAAATGAAAAGGCAGAGGACTATGTACCACATGAAGGAACAAGATAAAACCCCAGAAAAACAACTTAATGAAGTGGAGATAGGCAACCTTCCAGAAAAAGAATTGAGAATAATGATAGTGAAGATGATCCAGAAGCTCAGAAAGAGAATGGAGGCAAAGATCAAGAAGAAGGAAGAAATGTTTAACAAAGACCTAGAAGAAAGAAAGAAAAAACACCTAGAAGAATTAAAGAACAAACGAAAAGAAATGAACAATACAATAATTGAAATGAAAAATACACTAGAAGGAATCAATAGCAGAATAACTAAGGCAGAAGAACAGATATGTGACCTGGAAGACAGAATGGTGGAATTTACTGCCACAGAACAGAATAAAGAAAAAAGAATGAAAAGAAATGAAGACCACCTAAGAGACCTCTGGGACAACATTAGACGCACCAACATGTGCATTATAGGGGTTCCAGAAGGAGAAGAGAGAGAAAAAGAAACCGAGAAAATATTTGAAGAGATTATAGTCAAAAACTCCCCTAACATGGGAAAGGAAATAGCCACAAAGTCCAGGAAGCACTGAGTCCCAGGCAGGATAAACCCAAGGAGAAATATGCTGAGACACATAGTAATTAATTTGACAAAAAATAAAGGCAAAGAAAAATTATTAAAAGCAACAAGGGAAAAATGTCAAGTAACATACAAGGGAACTCCCATAAGGTTAACAGCAGAAACTCTACAAGCCAGAAGGGAGTGGCACAATATATTTAAAGAGATAAAAGGGAAGAAGCTACAACCAAGATCACTCTACCCAGCAAGGATCTCATTCAGATTCAATGGAGAAATCAAAAGCTTTACAGACAAGCCAAAGCTAAGAGAATTCACCACCACCAAACCAGCTCTACAACAAATGTTAAAGGAACTTCTCTAAGTGGAAAACACAAGAGAAGAAAAGGACCTACAAAAACATACACAAAACAGTTAAGAAAATGGTAATAGGAACATACATATCGATAATTACCTTAAATGTGAATGGATTAAATGCTCCAACCAAAAGACATAGACTCACTGCATGGACACAAAAACAAGACCCATATATATATGCTGTCTACAAGAGACCCATTTCAGACCTATGGACACATACAGACTGAAAGTGAGGGGATGGAAAAAGATATTCCATGCAAATGGAAATCAAAAGAAAGCTGGAGGAGCAATACTCATATCAGATAAAATAAACTTTAAAATAAAGAATGTTCCAAGAGACAAGGAAGGACACTACACAGTGACCAAGGGATCAGTCCAAGAAGACAATAAAACAATTATAAATATATATGCACCCAACATAGGAGCACCTCAATACATAAGGCAACTGCTAACAGCTATAAAAGAGGAAATCGACAGTAACACAATCATAGTGGGGGACTTTAACACCTCACTTACACCAATGGACAGATCATCCAGACAGAAAATTAATAAGGAAACTCAAGCTTTAAATGACACAACAGGCAAGATAGACTTAATTGATATTTATAGGACATTCCATCTGAAAACAGCAGATTATACTTTCTACTCAAGTGCACACGGAAAATTCTCCAGGATAGATCACATCATGGGTCACAAATCAAGCCTCAGTAAATTTAAGAAAACTGAAATCATATCAAGCATCCTTTCCAATCAAAATGCTATGAGATTAGAAGTCAATTACAGGGGAAGAAAACATAAAAAGCAAAGACACATGAAGGCTAAACAATATGTTACTAAATAACCAAGAGAAATCAAAGAGGAAATAAAAAAATACCTAGAGACAAGTGACAATGAAAACACGATGATCCAAAACCTATGGGATGAAGCAAAAGGAGTTCTAAGAGGGAAGTTTATAGCAATACAATCCTACCTCAAGAAATAAGAAAAATCTCAAATAAACAATCAAACCTTACACCTACAGGAACTAGAGAAAGAAGAACAAACAAAACCGAAAGTTAGTAGAAGGAAAGAAATCATAAAGATCAGAACAGAAATAAATGAAATAGGAACAAAGAAAACAATTGCAAAGATCAATAAAACTAAAAGCTGGTTCTTTGAGAAGATAAACAAAATTGATAAACCTTTAGCCACACTCATCAAGGAAAAGAGGGAGAGGACTCAAATCAATAAAACGACAAATGAAGAAGGAGAAGTTACAACAGACGCCACAGAAATACAAAGCATCATAAGAGACTACTACAAGCAATTCTATGCCAATAAAATGGACAGCCTGGAAGAACTGGACAATTCTTATAAAGGTTTAACCTTCCAAGACTGAACCAGGAAGAAATAGAAAATATGAACAGACCAATCACAAGTAATGAAATTGAAACAGTGATTTAAAATCTTCCAACAAACAAAAGCCCAGGACCAGATCACTTCACAGGTGAATTCTATCTAACATATAGAGATGAGCTAACACCCATCCTTCTCAAACTCTTCCAAAAAATTACAGAGGAAGGAACACTCCCAAACTCATTTTATTAGGCCACCATCACCCTGATACCAAAACCAGACAAAGATACTACAGAAAAAGAAAATTACAGACCAATATCACTGATGAATATAGATTCAAAAATCCTCAAAAAATACTAGCAAACAGAAGCCAACAACACATTAAAAGGATCATGCACCATGATCAAGTGGGATTTATCCCAGGGATGCAAAGA